TAGTAACTTTTGCATATGTGTTCATAAGAAATACTGATCTGTAGTTTTCTTTTCTTACATTTTTTTTCTTCTGATTTTGTTGTGGGGGGATGCTAGCTCCATAAAATGAAATGAAAGTATTCATCCATCTGCTTTATTTTCTGGAAGAGTTTGTGCAGAATTGGTATTATTTCTTCCTTAAATATATGGTAAAATTCACCAGTGAAGTTATCTGAGCCTGGAGTTTTTGGGTTTTTTGCTTTTGTGGGTTTTTTTTTCTTTTCTTCTTGTTTTTGTAGGAAGGTTTTTTTAACAATTCCATTTCATTCTTAAATACAAGGCTATCATATTACCTATTTCTACTTAAAAGGGCTTTGGTAATCTATCTTTCAAGTAATTTGTTTTCTATCTATGTTGCTTCATGTTTTGGCAAAATTTTCTCTGATTTTTCTTTTCAGGTCTGTAGGACCTCTAGTGATGTCCCCTCATCATTTCTGATATGGCAGTTTGTGTCTACAATTCCCTTTTATTTTTCTCTGATCAGTCTGGCTAGAGTTTAGTGATTTTTTTTTTAAGAACCAGTTATTTGTTTCATTGATTTTTCTTTCTTTTTTTTTTTCTTTTTGTTTGTTTTGCTTCTGTTTTCGCTTTCTATTCCATTGCTTTCTGCTTTTGTCATTATTATTTATTTCCTTCTTCTCATTTTGGGTTGGATTTTCTCTTCTTTTTCTGGTTCATCTATGTAGAAATGGAGACTTTCTCCTTTTCTTGCATAAGCATTTCGTGATCTGAATGTCTCTCTTACACTATTTTAGCAGCATACAAAAACATTGCTATGTTGGGTTTTCATTATAACTCAGCTCAAAATGTTTCCCAGTTTCCTTTAGTAATTTCTTCTTTAGTTCATGAGTTGACTCATGGGAAGTGACTTGTTTGATTTAGAGATATTTGGAGCTAATCTAGATGTTTCATTTTTGTGCATTTCTAATTTAATTCCTCTGTTCCTCTCTTGAGAACACTATATTAAAAAGTCAGAGAAGAAAACAACCATTTTTTACTATCTTATTTTTATATCTTTTGAAATTTACAAGTAGTGAATATGATATTTTGTCTTTTTCTTTCAGCTTAGCTTATCTTTGTTTTGCTAACCAAACATAAATTGAAACTGTTTCTTAATTCCAAAATAAATCTTAGTCCAAGTCAGCTAAGTGCTTAATTTAACTATATTTATTCTCACATATCCATTTTAAGAGATGTATATTTTAAAATATATTTCTGCCATTACTTATGACACCAATGTTTCCAAGTAAAACAGAAGGAAATTTCCTATTTGTTTTTCCAGTGATCAAACTTGCTAAGTTAATATCCAACAAGTGACCACAGTTTATTCTCTAAGATACTATTAATATTCTTTTTAACCATTTTGCAAAGTAAAGCTCTATCCTCCAAATAATCAGCAAAAATATTTATTCCAATACTTAATTTTTCAAGGGACAAACAGCTACTATGTTGAAAATCCTCCACATTCACTTTTCAGAAAATTCTAATTTTTTTTTTTTTGGCCAGTGGTGTTTATTCCAATATATTTTATCCAACAATTCTTTTGTTTAAAAATTTTACTGTTTTTATAATTTTAAGAACAAATTAAAATGAATTTATTTCTTCAAATGGGGGGGAAAAGGTGCCGAGAATTGTTTCATTTGTTTCAAAGCCAGATCATGTCAACACTGTCTTTAAGCAGATTTACATGTCATTTCTTGGTACATGGGATTAATTTAGCATATGTCTACAGAGAAATAAATTTCTCTGTAAGAGACAGCACATGAAGTATTGAGCTAATTAAGAGCAATAAAATTGTGTCTTTGATAAAAAATAAGATCCTACTGCATAATGCAAGGAACTATATTCCGTATCTTTTGTAAACTATAATGGAAAAGAATATGAAAAATAATGTATATATACACATACACACACATATATGTATAACTGAATCACTTTGCTGTATATCAGAAACTAACACAGTTTACAAACTGCCTATACTTCATTTTTTTAATGTCCAAAAAATTCTTTAAAAAATAGAAAATAAAATTTTGTCCTTGATAAAATAATCAGGATTGAGTGGATTTATGTTGAGAGACTGCAATCAGGGATAACGGTGGTCTACACAGACACTGCCTACAGCAGGGAGAGCCAACCTACACATTGTTCTTCCATACCATAAATGATAGACTTTGCTATTTGGGACTAACAGGGTTTGTGAACAGGATTATGAAAATAAAACTTACACCATACTACCAAATCACCAGATTTGAACTCCCTGATCGCATATAGACTTTAACTTACCAAAAACCGAATTTCTTGCTTCCCCTTAAATCCCTTTCTAATGCCCAGTGTTACCACTGAGTACCCAAGTCTTATTATTTGCCAGTCTCAGTGGAATATCACTTAATGTGGGGACTATCCAGTAAAAGTTGTTAGATTTCTGCACTGGCTGTACTTTCTAGGCTCACTGTTGTTTACATTCTTTTTTCTTCCTCACTTGCTACCTTATAACTGAAAAAAAAAAAAAGACTCTGAAAACAACAAACAATGTTTCACTTATTTAGTTGGGGATTTTCAGAGAGCCATTCTTTGTCATGGTTTCCCCAGATTTGAAAAGGTCTTAGAGGGTAGAGAGTGGATTTTTGTGGGCCATCCTTTTTGAATTTTCCCCATGCCCCATGATAGACTGTGTATTTCTTTTTTTTTTTTTCTGATTAACATTTTTTATTATAGTATTTCGTTTTAAATTCATTCAAGACAAAAAGGAAAAAACAGAGACAGTGGTCCCGGCGGGAATGCACGACTTGTTTAGTTTACAGCACAGACTTCTTCTCTTAATGGGAATTGTGCTCTTGGTTTCAGCAATAAGTGAAGGGGAGAGATCTTGAAGTTCTGAGGGCGGTGCAGGGCGTCCACGTTAGTAGGGGTTGAAACGCCATCATTGGATGCTCCAGGTTGGAATGCTCTTCCAGTCACCGTGGCGTCCTCCTGCTGCTGGCAGGGGCGTCA